CACCTCTTCGCTTTCACACCACGATTCTTCTCCCCCCCCTCCCCCCCGTAGATCCCAACCCCTCCACCGTCATCCATGGTCCAGTTCTGAGGCTTGGAGTTTTTCCCGGTCGCAGTGGTGGAACCGTGTTTGTGTATCTTTATTGAACTTCTTTCGTACCGTATGTAGCCAACCGTGCTAATCGGAGGTGCCGGTGGAGGGGGACAAGAAACTAAACCCACACAAAAAGCAGTTTGAAAGAATTGAGTTCTCCATCTATAAGAATAGGTTTTACCCTTTCTGGCAATGAAACAGGTGTTAAGATGTTAAAACACCAAACTGAAACCTTTTGCAAATGTAGTGTAGTGACCGGAGACGAGGTTTGTAGAGGCACCTTCTTTATTAACACGCACGATCTCGCCTGGACACACTCTGTACTCGCTAGCCTATGACACAACACGAGCCGTCTTGCGTCAGATCGTCTCGTCTCGTCGCCATCGTCGCTGCCGACGATGGCGACGATGGCGATCCAATCCCAAACCGTCTTGTCTTATGCTAGCAGCACGGCCTGGCTCCGCCCTGGCCGTGCCTCCCTTCTCGAACCCACTAGCAGGTTCCAGGGGCTTCCAGATGGGGCCCTCCATGACCCTTGCCCCAGTTCCTCCGCCCTGCCGACACACACACCGTGTATATGCTCACCGGCGCGTGTACTGTTTGTTCACCGCAGTTGCCGCTGCTGGTCACCAGCCGGCGCTATTACACTACACAAGTAATCATGTCTGCATTAACCACATATACTTGTGGTGAGCATGCAAACAAAAAACATGCTCTGGCAGTATTATACATTGTCTTTGAACATGATTCCTTGCCAAAGTTTTCAGTATGGTGTTTAATCATGTTAACACCTGTTTTATTGCCATATAGGTTGAAACCTATACTTTTTATTTTGATACTCGCAAGGGAGGTACCCATGAAGTTCTCGATCGAGATTACTTTACACAGCTCTCAGTGACTTCCTAATGTCGGAAGGAAGAGCGTTCCAGGCGGCCGCGGAAGCGCGCCTGAAAGCGCCGCGATGCGAGTGACCGCCTTCCGTTCGGTGGACCCACGCTCACACCCGGCCTCCGCTGTGGGCTTCCCCCCCGCGCAAAACTCGCCCCCCCGTGAGATTTTTCTACGTCAAAGCGAGCTGCGCTGTCGTTTTCAACGTCGAGATAATCTGCCAATAATCGAGGTTTTTGGGCTAGAGCGTGTAAATACAGATGTTGTGTTGTCAGAACCGCCACCCACCCGACACGGTCAATTAGTTTTGATTCGTCACGTAAGCAAAACGTGCCAATTCGTGACTAGTTCACACCTCTGGCTGTCCGCCTGATGATGCCGGTTGTTGTAGTTACTGGTGAAACGTCACAGTACTCGTATTGTAAATGTTGTCATGGGTTTACTTTCCAACACACCGGTGTGCTGAACTAGTAACGAATCGGCACGTTTTGTTTAGCGTGACAAACCTTTACTAATTGGCTGTGTCGGTGGTGGCGGGTTTAACGACACATTTATATTTACGCGATCCAACCCAAAAAAACTGTTATGGATATTGGTCGCGAAAGCCTACGTGTTAAACTGAGATTATCCGTGTTTGTAAAATCTACGATTTGGCTGTCGGTCCGAGCGTGACAGTCAACTCTCGTTCCTGCTCGCATTGGATCGTGTCCCGGGCTGCGGATCGGCCGTGCGCGCGGAAAAAAAATCATTGGATCAAAATATTTATGTTTTCTTTGGTTCTTTCGGTAAAGTCACGTAGAATGAGAATAAAATAATAAAAATAACACAATAAAATTCTCACGACGTTTCGGCCACAACGCAAGCGGCCGAAACGTCGTGAGAATTTTATTGTGTTATTTTATTATTACTTTATTCTCATTCCACGTGACTTTACCGAAAGAACGAAAGAAGATGAATCCTTGCAGTCACGAAAGCTTTAAATCGAAATATATATTTTATACGCGCGTGCGACGCACGCACGCACGCCCGCACGCCCGCGCTGGTTTGGTTATTGAGCTGCTCCTCACCCGTCGGGGGGTCACTGGCTCGGTGTCCGGGTGAGCGCAAACGCGTCGCCAAGTTGGACCGCTTACAGCTGCTGGACATCTGTGGAAAAGAGCCTCATAGCCCATTTGATTTCTGCAGGATGAATAAAGATTCCGATTCCGATCGGTACTCTGTTAAACGGTGACGGACGACGATCCTCTCCCCATCCCCCCCCCCAACTGTACGTCGTCTCCCTTTGCCAAACTTCTTCCAACCTTGCTCAATTCCGGAGGCGCCGTAATAAACCCTTAAAACGTGTACGTGTTGGCATCAGCGGTGCACGTATTAAACCTTAAAAAAGGGGGCTGTTTGTTGCTGGCCGCTTGACGTATTGGGGCCTTTGGGGGGCTCCTGCGAAACAGATTTTTCTTAAAAGCAAAAACCTAGCGAAGCAATAAATGCGACGCTTAGCCTGATGTACACATTTGCATTAAACGATATTTTTTTGGGGGAAAATCCAAGCCACCCCTTTAGTCCCCCACCGTTCCTGCGGATAACCGGGAGTTGACCGCGGCACGTGGAGGCAGCGAGCCGCTGCAGTCGAGGTGATGCGGTGCAAACCGCACGGCAAGCCACTGCAGTCGAGGCGACGTGACGAGCCCGCTGCAGTTGTGATGCCTTGCCGTTCGGGGCAGCCCGACCGTGCCAGTAGGAGGGGTAGGGGAGCGATTATCTCGGACGGGCGGCAGCGTGGCCGAGGCCTTTGTCGAGAGGCAATCGAATCGTTGCCTCGGTCGCGGTTTTGCAAGCGGTGGACTGTGGCAGAGGATTGTGTCCTTGTGCCATGAACCGGCGTGCTTTGCTAGGCGCGGCGGTCTTTATCCACATTCGATGGTCATCATGGGTAATGACGGTGAAGTAGGCTGATTTATTGCAGCGAAGAGGAAAGTAGCTGCTTCACCAAGCGACGATCAGTTTTTGTTGTTCCGCGGCCTTGAACCGAAACGATTGCAAATGTTTACACACACGATGGAAGCGTACATGGCCTTTGCGGGGGCACAGACGTTCGCAGTTCACCCTGCCATTGTAGCAGCGTCCCCAACGCGTTGCGCGCTTTTGTTTCCTGTTGTTGCGCGTTTTCGATTTTCCGCGCTGCCGCTTTGTGCCGAGACCCCGGGTGGAGAGGAAGGTTCCCCCCCCCCCCCCACAGCTCCTGTGTGTTGCCTCGATTCTTTCCCGAAAACGTGGTTTGGACAATTCCCAGGGAAGTCGCAACCCCCTCCCTCCCCCCCCCACCGGTGGCCATTGGTGCGGTTGGCACGACCATTCTGGCGAAAGGACGTTTCACGGCGGTTTGGGATGACCGAGAATTACCGAGGATTTCGTCGAGTGGCCTGCCTCAGCGTCACCTTTTGCAGGCGTGGGGATACAGTATAGGCTGGCGGTGGTCCCGCCGCTACCTTTGGCGTGCGGCAGGTAATCTTGTACATCTTTTCCACTGCGCAACCCGAGCCCGTGCCGAGCCACCCCAGCCCGGCGCGGCTCCGGATTGTTTTCCCACCGCAGAAGCCGGACCCGTGTCGCCGTAGTCGGTCAACCGAGTCGTTGGTGCGGCCGTGTCGCCACCGCACGGCGACGAACGTCGCACGCAACCGGTGCGCCGTTCGTGCCGCTCCCGGCCCTCCTGCCCCCCCCCAAGTCAGATGCCTCCTTGTGATGCCAGCAGCGTAGCACGATTTGCTTGGTTCTGGCTCAGCAGATCCGGGCCCCGGATATGCCAGTGAAAGTATCATGATGACGATAATTATTATTCTCACGATGGCCTACCTACAGCCATGTGCAGCGATGGGAGAATCGTGTCACGACCGTTCCTTCCGGCAACCCCCCCCTTCCCCCCTGGGCCCAATGTAACAACAGCCTCTCTCGGTAACGTACCTCGATTTTGTGTTTATCAAGGGAGTCGCGTTTGTGTATCGTCCGGACGTGCCGCCCGCCCGCCCGCCCGCCGTGCGTGCACTGCCGTCTTCATGTCGCCGTGCTTTGCGTCGTGCCGCTTGGCTTCGTTCGAGGCCGTGGATCTCTCGCGGATCGGTCGCTGTCGGTCGCCTTTAACTGCCATGGTCATTTCGCCAACGCGTTGATTTTTCCGACATGATTTTTACTATGGATGTATTTATTAATAGATATCAATCACTTTTATCACCAGTAAAATTATATATTCATCATCATGATTATACATCTCCGTCATCGAATCGGCGTCATCATCGTCTGAAACCTGTGTAACTGCAAGAAGTCATCGTTTGAAGTGTTATCTTGTCACGTGTTTGTGTAACATATATACATTGTAATGCGGTGTTGTCAAAATTTACAAGAATAAAAGTTTTACTGCAAAGCGTAATCTGCACGGGCCAGCCCGACGAGACTGTGACCCCCCCCCCCCCCGCGTCTCCCCCGCCCACAACTGCAGGGTAGCCACAGGCCGTAGCAAAGAGGTGACGGTGTATACTGGATGTGGTGTGCCGGTGCGGATGTTTTCCGGGTTGTTGATTTGGGACAGGCCTGGCTGAAATTAACCCTCCCCCCCCCCGAGCTTTACTCGAAGCAAAATGTCATTTAAAACAATGGCATCCTCCTGGCATCGTAGCGGCATCGTCTGGCATTGTCCGATCGCAGGCAATGTCTTGCCAAAAGCCTCACCTCGTCTTCCTCAGCGACACAGTCACCACCACACCACACTCAAAGACGTAAAGATCCTCTGTATAGTCTGAACACACTGTTGGGGCAGGTGCTTGTTAGTGAGTACCTATTAGAGCCTAGCACGGCACACGAGGGGAAAGGTTGGCCCGCACCGTGCCCGACCGCCTTTGTCTCCCCAGTGGCGATGTTTACACACCGCGCCAGGTACTCATTTGAGACCGCCGCTCCCCACACCGCCCGACACCACAACACACCAGCAGCACCGCACGCAGCAGAAGCACAACCACCAGAAGTCGTCCCGTGTCTCGTTTCTTTATTCAGAGGGCGGGTACGGCTGGGCCGGTGGATGGAGGGACACGGGCACGTTACAAGTGGTCAATTCATGCGAGACCACAGCAGCCGTTGCGACGTTGGCTGCGCGGGAGAGTTTGTTACGGACCGACGGCGGCTCTCTGCGTCGAGCGGCCTCCCCCCCCCCCTTCCGCGTCACAGGAAGGGCTCCAGCGAGATCTCGAGGGCGGCGCACGGCAGCGGGAGGTCGAAATGCGCGAGCACGCCCGGGTGCAGCACGCCGAGTCGGCCCACGGGCGCGGAGCCCACGCGCACGCACGCACACCGCCCTGGGAAGAACGTGGGGTCTGCGCGGTGGCACGCACATAAACCAACGCGCGCACACACACACACACACAGGTGAGGCTTCGACAACAACAACCGCCGTTCACCACTAAAGTGACGGTGGCGTCACCACGGGGCTTGTGCCATGTTAGGTGCACTTCGAGGCCACGTGAAGTGTTAAAGGATCCATACTCTTTGGTTCTATTCGGTAAAGTCACGTAAAAAAACAACAAAAAATAAAAAAAAATCACGACGTTTCGGCCGCAACACAAGTGGCCTTCATCAGGTGAAGGGACTAGACTGTCTAGAGGACAGCGCTGGAGTGAACACAGCCAAGCTCAGACCGCGACCTTTAAGCTGTGTGAGAGGAAGCAGAGCACCTTGACAAAGGAATTAGCATAAAATTAGCATTTAATTGGCGGATTTAGCATGATGAACGATGTACAGGGGGGGAGCATGTGCAGACCGGCGAGGGGGAGTTTACATATTGATGGTGTGAAAAGGGAATTTAAGCAGCTGCGAAAGTTTGGAATACCACTACTTGAAAAAATATACTGTACCATTGAAAATTAGTTTAATGTTTGGTTTGATTCAGAACATCTTGCCAATGGTTGCTTAATTTGAAACCATCCTCTCGGTTGAAATTGTGTCTGTGTTTGTAAATCTGAATTGCCTCGTGAACAAATCTCTGATAAAAACCCGTGGGTTTGCAAAGAACCTTGGTATCGGAGAAAATTATATCGTGATCACCCACAGTGTTGTAACAGTGATCAGCTACGGCAGAAGAATTCGTTCTGCCGTGTTTCAAATCTGATTTGTGCTCGTGAATTCGGTCAGAGACATGTCGTTTCGTCTCCCCGATATAGCAGTCACCACAGGTGCAGCTCAATTTGTAAACCCCGGGGTACTGTAAGTCAGGAATGACATCCTTCACGGATGGGATCAGGTCACGGATTTTGTGTACTGTATTGAACCGGACCAGGATCTTGTGTTTGTTTAGAATTTTGGAGATCTTTTTTAGTAACGCCTGCTATATATGGTAGTGCGATGGTTTTGATCGGAGTATCAAGTGTTTCTGTATGGAGGGAGAAACAGCTTGGCGGACACTCCGATCAAAACCATCGCACTACCATATATAGCAGGCGTGCGTGTCGGTGTTCGTGGCGCGTGATTCGGCGCGCGCTACCCTGGTCTGCCGCGATGTGGTAGGCCTTGTCGTTGCCCTGCGCCGAGCTCCGGCTCGCGACCGCCAGCAGCTGCATGACGCGGTCGAGGAGGCCGTGGATCACCTCGAAGCCCGGGGCCTTGTTGTAGTAGACGGCGCAGAGACGGCGCTCGTTACGCGTGCCCACGTCTGCAGGGTCAACAACAACAACAACAACCGCCATTCGCCACTAAGTGGCGGTGACGTCACCAGGACGCTTGTGCCAGGCTATGTGCACCCTGAGGCCACGTGAAGTGTCGAACGCCCGCTGGCAGGAGGTCACGGGGCAGACCCAGGTGCCACGGGTCGACTGACTGAGATGACTGGCTGATGCACCACCTGTGCCCCCTAATGTGCCAACCTGCTGTGCTTTAGCCACCCGGCGCTCCGCTCGCTGTTGTGAGCGTCGCTCCTCCGCCCTCCGTTGTTGTTGGAGGGTGACTGCCTCCAACTGCCCAGTAGCATCCTTCACGAGCCTCCTCCACAGAGGCCGATCTAGACACCGCTGGTACCAGTCATCGGCAAGTCCACTCAGCTCCACGTCCTCCTGTACCACATCACTCCATCTCTTCTCTAGCCCGTGCCGCGCCCGCTTAGCCCCCTCAATCTGGCCAAACAAAAGCTGTTTCGGCATGCGGTGGCTGGGCATGCGGGCTACATGACCCAGCCATCGCAGCCTTGCCTGCCGGAGGAGCTCACCGATGGGACCCTGCCCAGATCTTTCAAGGATTTGTGAGCTCCTCACACAATCCAGTCTGGTTAAACCCAGGATGGATCGTAGGCAGGCCAGCCTAAATGTTTCTAACCGGCGAAGATGTTCCATTAGGGGGGTCCACGTTTCGCAAGCGTAGAGAAGGGAGGGAATGACCGTGGCCGAGAAGACCTGAAGCTTAGTGCGGAGCGACAGACCAGGTAGCTTCCACACAGCGTTACGCAACCGATGAAAAGATATTGCCGCTCGACTGATTCGGAGTGAGACCTCTGCTGTTAAACTGGAGCCAGTCATAAGCACACTGCCCAGGTATGGGAAACTCTCCACTCTCTCCACAACTGCCCCATCACCGATTGGGAGTTGTGGGGGTGGAGTGTCCGATGGTACAAAATACCCAGGCAGGTGCTTAGTTTTGGTGGGGCTGATGGTAAGGCCCCACCTCTTAGTGGCACGCTCCAGTCTCAGCAGCAGCGTCTCCAACTCCTCCTCTGACTGAGCAGCTATTACCAAATCATCAGCATACATAACGTGGTTGAGCAATAGGGAGCCATCCCTTGACCGCACCCGGGCATCGATTAGCCTCCCATTATATCTGTACCATATGGAGATTCCCCCGGTACAGCTATTGAAGGCTTCACGAACTACGTGGTCAAAATAGATGTTAAATAATGTGGGAGCCAGAGGACATCCCTGTCGCACCCCAAGATGTACAGGGAATGGCTCTGACTCCCGGCCACGTAGTTTTACCCGGGCCCGCTCACCATCATGAAGGTCCTTAATGATCGTGAGCAGAGGGTCAGGTACTCCAAAAGCACGAAGAACGACCCAGAGCCCAGGCCTACTGATGGTATCATAGGCCTTGACCAGGTCAATAAAGCAGAGATGTAGGTCTTGTTGGAATTCCCTACACCTCTGCTGTAACAGACGGACAGAAAATATGGCATCTGTGCAGGACCGCCCTTTCCTGAAACCGCATTGTGGCTCCGCAAGTCTCTCCTCAGCGTGCCTGGCAAGGCGATGCTGAATAATCCTTGCCAGGACCTTTCCCGGCACACTGAGGAGTGAGATGCCCCTGTAGTTGTTACAGTCTGTGCGGTCCCCCTTCTTAAAAAGGGGGACCACCAGGGCATCCTTCCAATCCTGCGGAACCCGTCCAGTGGTCCAGACTGTTGTTATGATGTCATATAGGGCAGTCTGTGCACAAACGCCACCCTCCCTCAGCATTTCGCTTGGGAGATCATCTCTGCCCGCTGCCTTTCCTGGTCTCAGACTCTGGATCGCCTTCAATACTTCCTCAGCAGATGGCACCTCAGCCAGCCAATCACAGGGGGTGACTTCATCCAATATTTGAGGCACCGCAGCCTCAGCAGGGTCATCCTCACTTTGTGCCACGATGTTTTCCTGGCTGAGGGATTTTCCCTCCCCCAGGACCTCACAGAAATGCTCAGCAAATCTGCGAACCTGTTCCTGGGGGTCGGAAATTGGATCACCGTTTTTTCCCCTAATGATGGTAATAGGTGTGGCGCTGCAGGTTACTTTTTTGATGGAGTTAAATAGAGATTTGTGATCACGGGCCACTGAGGCAGACTCCATCTCCTCAGCAACCCGCGACCACCACCCATCCTTGCAGCGCCTCACGGCTCTCCGAACCTCCGAGCGAAGGCTGCGGTAAGCCTCCTCATTCTCTGACGTGGGATTCTGTAGCCGATGACAGTGGGCCTGTCGCTTTTTCTCAACCATCCTGAACAACTGCTCTGTCATCCAGGGTGTCTGGGGAGGTCTGGACCGCGTACCCAAAGCAGCCATTGCAGCTGCATGAGTCACAGTCCTAAACCTCGCCCATTTACCCTCGACATCAGGAGGAGTCGGGGACGATGCCAATCCCAGCCGCAAGCGATGATGAAATTCTCGCTTGCAACTTTCATCAGATAACTGAGACCAGGCCACTTTAGGTTGGAATGGGGTCCTGGGTGTACACCCACCACCGGAGTGGAAGAATGGCAGGCGCATCTTACAGATGACTAGTCGATGGTCAGAGGGCAGATCAGCTCCACGGTAGGTCCTGGTGTCAAGGACATGGGCTCGCATTCGCTGGTCCGTCACTATGTAGTCCAGCAGATGTTCTTGCTTGGACCCGGCATGCATCCATGATGTTGTGTGGATGCGCCGATGCCGGAACAGCGTGTTGGTAATTACAAGCCCATGGGCTGCACAAAAATCTAGCAGCCTCCTACCGTTGTTATTGAGCTGATCTGGCCCATGCCCTCCAATCACTCCAGACCAGGTGCCAGTATCATGACCAACTCGGGCATTGAAGTCACCCAACATGATGACTCTATCCCGAGGGGCCACTTTAGTCAGCACCTGTGACAGGAGGTCATAGAAGGCATCTGACTCATCGGCTTTGCCTGCATCCCTCCACGGATGTTCATCTTCGGTGGGGGCATAAGTAACCACGACCACCATTCCTCGCCTCCGGTTGATGGGAAGGCGAGCCCAAAGTAGCCTGGGGCTTACAGCTTCCCACACCTCACCGCCACGCTCCCACGCCCCCTTCATTCTTTTGTTCAAAAGAAGACCCACACCCTGTTGTTTGGCAGTCTGCTGCCCCGAGTAGAGGACTGTCCACCCCTCATGGTGGCAGGAGCCAGAGCCGGTCCACCGGACCTCCTGAATGCCGCATAGATCCAGGCGGTACCGGTCCAGCTCCCGACAGAGGAGTGGCAGCCTCTCGTCTGCAGTGAGCGTTCGAACATTCCACGTGGCCACCCGTAGTGGCTTTTCGTTGTTTCTGGAGTAGCCCCGAGGGTAGGTATTCAATCTCCTGGCTCCGCCAATTGGGGTTTGGCCAGGAGACGTCATAGACGCCTGGCCCCCCGGGGCCTCCGGCACAAGCTTAGTTGTTACATATTTCAGTTTAATTCGTGGTTTCGTGGTAATTAATTGAAGGTGGAGGGGTTACCAGCCCCTCGCACCCGTCCAGAGCCCCCGTTTAGCCCCTGTGGTGGACACATATGCCATGAGGGTCACACACGCGCACACACGCACACGCACGTGAATCCACGAACGCACACGCACGCAGACTAACGCACGGACGCACGCACGCGCTCACACGTGAGACAAAGACCCCGCACCCCGTGTGTCCTTAACAGACTGCTGGAGCAAGTGCTGTTCGCTAGTAGCAGCACCGATTCATGGGTGTATGTTGAACTTCTTTCGCACCGTACGTAGCGAACCGCGCTCATCGGAGGTGTGGGGGAAGGACAACAAACTTCTAAACGCAAAAACTGCACACAAGTAGCACTTATGAAGGCTGGCACGGCACGTGAGTTTGTTGGGTCGTCAGCAGGACGGATATTCTCACCTGCGTCCCACTCCTCCTCACCTGTGCGTCCCACGCTCACCTGTGCCTCCCACTCTACCTCACCTGTGCGTCACCACCATCCCTCACCTGTGCGTCACCACCCTCTCTCACCTGTACGTCACCACCCTACCTCACCTGTGCCTCCCACTATACCTCACCTGTGCGTCACCACCCTCCCTCACCTGTGCGTCACCACCCTACCTCACCTGTACGTCACCACCCTACCTCACCTGTGCCTCCCACCCTCCCTCACCTGTGTGTCCCACTCTCCCTCACCTCTGCGTCACCACCCTCCCTCACCTGTGCATCACCACTCTCCCTCACCTGTGCTTGAGTCCTGCAGCACGACGTCTGAGATCTCAAAGAGTTTGAGAGGCAGCGCCATATTGCGGTTTGCGGCGAGCGTCTTGAGGAGGCCGGGAAGCAGAGTGGTGCGCGCCACCTGGGCATGCCACCACACACGCCACCACACACACGCCACCACACACACGCCACCACACAAGCCACCACACACACGCCACCCCACACACGCCACAACACACGCCACCCCACACGCCACCACACACACGCCACAACACACGCCACCACACACGCCACCACACACGCCACCACACACGCCACCACACACGCCACCACACACACGCCACCCCACACGCCACCACACACGCCACCACACACGCCACCACACACACGCCACCACACACACGCCACCACACGCGCCACCACACACGCGCCACCACACACGCCACCACACACACGCCACCACACACGCCACCACACACACGCCACCACACACACGCCACCCCACACACGCCACCCCACACACGCCACCACACACACGCCACCCCACACACGCCACCACACACACGCCACCACACACACGCCACCACACGCGCCACCACACACGCGCCACCACACACGCGCCACCACACACGCGCCACCCCACACGCGCCACCACACACGCGCCACCACACACGCGCCACCACACACACGCCACCACACACACGCCACCACACACACGCCACCACACACACGCCACCACACACACGCCACCCCACACACGCCACCACACACACGCCACCCCACACACGCCACCCCACACACGCCACCCCACACACGCCACCCCACACACGCCACCACACACACGCCAACACACACGCCACCCCACACACGCCACCACACACGCCACCACACACGCGCCACCACACACGCGCCACCACACACACGCCACCACACACACGTCACCCCACACACGCCACCACACACACGTCACCCCACACGCCACCACACACGCGCCACCACACACGCGCCACCACACACGCCACCACACACGCGCCACCACACACACGCCACCACACGCCACCACACACACGCCACCACACACACCACCCCACACACGTCACCACACACACGACGCGCCAATCAAACACAAAGATCCCCCTCCTGTAGCCTGTAACAGACTGTCGGGGCAAGTGCTGTTAGCGAGCAGCAGCGCCTACGAAGGCCGGCACGGTGGCACGCCAGGGGGTGGGGTGGCCAGCCCCACGCTCGGCCGCCTTTGTCTCCCTCGTGGCGATGTTTTTACACTCGGCCTCGTTTGAGGCCGAGTCGACCTAGGGGAGTCCCAGGACGGGTTCAGGTAATCGTCACTGGTGTCGGTGGCCGTGAGCGGGAATCGAACCCGGCTCACCGGTGTCGCGGCGTGGCTACCCGCTACACTACGACCGCTCCCCGCACGCTATCACCACCCGCGTCGCCGTGACGACCGCGGCCGTGCAGGTGCTGTGGGTGGAGCAGGGGGAGTGTGGGCGCGAGGGTGGGGGTGTAGGGGAGTGTGGGGGGGGAGTGTGGGCGTGAGGGTGGGGGGGGCAGGGGGAGTGGGGGGGCAGGGGGAGTGTGGGCGTGATGGTGGGGGTGTAGGCGAGTGTGGGGGGGGGGCAGGGGGAGTGTGGGCGCGAGGGTGGGGGTGTAGGCGAGTGTGGGGGGGGAGTGTGGGCGTGAGGGTGGGGGGGGCAGGGGGAGTGGGGGGGGCAGGGGGAGTGTGGGCGCGAGGGTGGGGGTGTAGGCGAGTGTGGGGGGGGCAGGGGGAGTGTGGGGGTGTAGGCGAGTGTGGGGGGGGCAGGGGGAGTGTGGGGGTGTAGGGGAGTGTGGGGGGGGGCAGGGGGAGTGTGGACGCGAGGGTGGGGGTGTAGGGGAGTATGGGGGGGGGGGGGCAGGGGGAGTGTGGGCGCGAGGGTGGGGGTGTAGGGGAGTGTGGGGGGGGCAGGGGGAGTGTGGGGGGGGGTGTAGGGGAGTGTGGGGGGGGGGCAGGGGGAGTGTGGGCGCGAGAGGGTGGGGGTGTAGGGGAGTGTGGGGGGGGCGTGGAGGCAACCTGGAAGTCGGCGCTCTTGGGGTTGGCGATGAGCACGGCTCGCGTGCTGCTCACGTCCCGCAGCAGCTTCTCCGTCACGTCCTCGTGGGAGCACTGCGAGAGAGAGAGAGAGAGAGCAGCGCTCGCGGTCCACACCAAAGACAAAGATCCCCCGGGTTGAAGCCTTCAGCGGGCTGTCTGGGACGAGTGCTGTCCGTGAGCACGGCGCACCAAGGGGTGGGTCGCCGGCACCGACGGCCAGCCGCCTTCGTCTCCCCAGCGCTGATGTTTCCACACGGCGCAGGATGCTCAATCGAGGCGGAGACAAAACCAGAGGAGGCCCAGGGGTGGCTCCGATATCGGTCACCGACGTTGGCTGCGAGCGGAATTGAACTCGGGCTGCTGGGTTCGTGGCGCAGCACGTGAACCGCCACACGCGACCGCTGCCCACTAGCCCCCCTACACACACTCCCACGCTATCCCCCACACTCGCAAAACGACAACCACTTGCACACTCGCACTCATTCCTATGTCCACACTCTCGCCGCACTCGCCCGGCCACTCGCGTCCCAAGCAACCTCGCGGCAACCGCCGTTCCCGCGAGCCGCGGACGCCCAACCCTCAAGGCGAGCGGCGTGGCGGCAGGCCCCGCGGTAGCGGCGGTCGTGCGATGGGGTTGAGCGGACACGGGAGAAGCGAGTCGGCCCCGACCCCCTCCCTCGTACCAGCGCGAAGGTGAGCGCCTCCGTGAACCCCGCGGCTGCCACGTCCACCCGCAGGAGGTCCGTCAGCTTGTTGAGAGGAAACTGCACACGCAGGCAAAGCCAAAGATCCCCCCCCCCCAGTATAGCCTGTAACAGACTGTTGGGTCAAGTGCTGTTAGCGAGGAGCGCCTATTAAGTCCGGCACGGCACACGAGGGGGTGGGTGGCCAGCACCGTGCCCGACCCAGGACCGGTTCAGACGTTTGTCACCGATGTTGGCCGTGAGCGGGCATCGAACTCAGGTAGCCGGGTTCGTAGCACACACGCCGCACACACACACACACGCGCGCACGGGAACACGCGCGAGCACGCACGCAAGGCGAACACGGGGGAGTGACGGCACCATTGCCGCGTCCCCGGCACGGTGCAGCTGGCCGCCGCTACCGCCAGCTTCAGCGCTTTCCCGAATGGAAGCGGACGCAGCACGCGCATGGTGCACGATTAGCACGTTGGGCCACGTACGTACTGTGCGAAAGAAGCTCAACGTACGTACAGTTGCAAGCGCGAAGCGCGGGAAATCCCGCCTCCTCCGAAGCACGGAGGAGAATCGCCGCCAGCCTTCGAATTGAGCGGCCTCCACCCCCCCCCCGGTGAGTTCTTAACGTCGCCCGTACTCGGCGAGCGGCGACGCGAATTGAAATGGGCGCGGCGCTCACCTGGTGGGCGATGGTGAGGGTGGCCGGGATGGTGCGGGCGATGTTGTTGAAGCCGTAGGCGATGGCGGCGTCCTCCATGATGTCGCAGGCGTGGATGATGTCGGAGCGGATCGGCGGGACCTCCACGCAGATCTGGGAGCCGTCGGCGGCCACCTCTGACTTGAGGCACATGCGCGTGAGCAGGCGCGCCAGCCGCTCCGGGGACTCGCTGGCCCGCGGCGCCGGGGGAGACGGGGGTGGCACGGGGGGTCAGCAGCCACTCGTGGACGCGCGCGGGTGGCACAGCACGGACACTGAACTCTTTAAACAATTATTGTAATATTTGTTCAGACCAGGTAAGGCCCACCGAGCTATATAATTACTTTTCAGAAGCGACCCGTCCACAACTGATAGGCCAACGAAGTGGCTTTTCGTCACGTGGATATTTATAGTAGCAGCCAAATACTCTAAATGCGTGATGTCGATTCTAAACGTGGAGGGTAAAACTGGAGGACCTGGGGGGAAAATCCACGCGACCACAGGGAGAACACGCAAACTCCAAATATACAGGCATCAGGGTCGGGATCGGACCCACAACTTCCTGCATACTTGGCGAGGGAGATAACATCTCGCCGCGTACAAAGTTTCCCCGTCTAGCCTCAACAGACTGTTGGGGCAAGTGCTGTTAGCGAGCACCGATGAAGGCCCTGCGGCAGGGCACACGAGGGGGTGGATGGTCAGAACTATGCCCTATATGGTCCATATTATATGATATCATATATGGACCATATAGTAGAGCACCATAGTCTGCGCTCCTTCGACGGTGGATGAGGAACAACAAAACAACACGAACTCCCACTCCTGAAGGCCAGCAGCAGAACTCCACATTGGCGTCTCGCTCTTGAACACATCGCACATCGCCACGCGCAATAACAGAGTCGTCTGTTGGGGAATGTTAAGTCTATGGGAAATGTTAAGTCTGTTGGGCAATGTTAAGTCTATGGGCAATGTTAAGTCTATGGGCAATGTTAAGTCTATGGGCAGTGTTAAGTCTATGGGCAATGTTAAGTCTATGGGCAATGTTAAGTCTATGGGCAATGTTAAGTCTATGGGCAATGTTAAGTCTATGGGCAATGTTAAGTCCATGGGCAATGTTAAGTCCATGGGTAATGTTAAGTCTATGGGTAATGTTAAGTCTATGGACAATGTTAAGTCTATGGGCAATGTTAAGTCTATGGGCAATGTTAAGTCTATGGGCAATGTTAATTCTATGGGCATTGTTAAGTCTACGAGCAATGTTAATTTCTACGGGCAATGTTAATTCTACGGGCAATGGTAAGTCTACGGGCAATGTTAAGTCTATGGGCAATGTTAATTCTATGGGCAATGTTAGTTGATGAGCGATGTCAAGTCTCTTGAATAGAATACGCCCACACCATATACACACGGCCATACAAAAACACGACGTACGCCGTGCAGCACGCACGCACGCCACAACGAGAGGGTGGCTGATCTGATTGATGATCAGGCCACGGCTGCACGGTTCCACTGGGGGAGGGGGCTCTCACCGAATGCCAACGCGAGAGTTGATGTACTCGGCACTCAGCACCTCTGTCCTGTACGGCAGCTCCTGTGAGCGGACAAAGATCCCCCGTAAAGTCTTCACAGGCTGTAGGGGCAAGTGCTGTTAGCGAGCGGCACCTATGAAGTCCGGCACGGCGCACGAAGGGGTGGGTGGCCAGCGCCGCGCCCGGCCTCCTTTGTCTCCACAGTGGCGATGTTTATTACACACCGCACCAGGTACTCATTTTAGGCTCAGTCTACCTCGGGGAGGCCAAGGACCGGTTCAGATATTTCTCACTGGTGCTGGCCGTGCGTGAGAATCGAACTCAGGTCGCCAGGTTCATAGCGCAGCACGTTAACTGCTACATCACCGCTCCCCACTGTACATAGACACAAAGACAATGATCCCCCCCCCCCTTATAGCCTTAACAGACTGTTGGGGCAAGGGCTGTTAGCGCATCCACGCGCATGCAATCGCACGAGCACTGGCAGCAAGCCCTCTGCTGGCCCGTGTCCATCATCATCATCATCCTCCGCCAATCCACTGCCGGATGAAGGCCTCCCGAAGGCCGACGGCGTCTCTCGCGATCGTGCAGCGTGACGACGGGAGGCCCGTTGTAAATGAGCGAGAGGAAGGGAGCGGGGGGGGGGGGGGGGGCGGGGGGGGTACGCACCGGGAACAGGGTCGTCTGTCCGTCGGGGCTCACCACCTCCACCGCCTCCACCCTGCAAGGAGAGGCCGGCGTCACAACAGCGGCGGCGACACCGCGGCCTTCGACAGCGCGCAGCGGACGACTCGCGCCACGTGCGGCGCGTACACATCGCTCACGATCGATGGGAGCACTGGCTGACCCGGTAGAGGATCCATGAGCTAGTGTAGGTATGATCACCGCATCAGTTTAACAAGTAGTAGGCTTTCGCGACCAATATCATCCGTAATATTGTTTGTTGTGGGTTAGATCGCGTAAATATATAAATGTGTGTCGTTAAACCCGCCACCGCCCGACACAGCCACTTAGTAAGGTTTGTCACGTTAACAGATCCGGCTGTCGCCTGGTGAAGCTGGTTGTAATTTCTGGCGAAACGTCGTACTCAGATTGTAAATGTTGTGGCTTTGCTCTCCAACACACCGGTGTAGTGCTGTACTAGTAACGAATTGGTACGTTCCGTTTACGTGACAAAGCTTACTAGTTGCCTGTGTCGGGTGGTGGCGGGTTTCATGACACATTTATACATTTACGCGATCTAACCCACAAAAAACACCCCTCTATTATATTATGGCTGTTAAACATCGTTCGCGAAACTCTGCGCTTTTCGTTAAAACGCCGCCACGTTTAGGCGGACGCAGGTTCTGGGAGCAACCCGTGCCCTCGCCGAGGATTTCCAAATACCGGGCACGGGCGCACTCACGAGGGTGCACACTCACAGCCCGGTTCACTCCCGGCTGTGAGTGTGCACTGCGAGAGGACTCGCTGAGCGCGACGCTGAACGGAGAAGAATCCACCGTCGCTGCCGCAACGGTGCAGAATATTCCCCCTGTAGCACCGTGGAACGTCCCGGCATTCACGCGCCCGACGACACTCAGTTGTGCATTCGAGCTGACGAAGAGGTCGGTGATGTATGCGCGTTCAACTTCTTTCGCACCGTACATTAGCCAACCGTGCTCATCGGAGGTGCGGGGGGAAAGACAACAAACTACAAAGCACAAAAAGCAGTTCTCGTATCGGAAGAGCGTTCCAGACGGCCGCGGAGAATAGCGTGCGCACACAAACAATGAAGGGTGATTGAATGTACAGATTTTTTGCAAGATGACGTTCCCCCCCCCCACCCCCGAGGAGTTACTGAACAAATGCGTATAATGTTTACTTGTGAAGAGTTCTGTGAAGGGTGCGATATTAAATAACGTTCGATTCATGGATTGCACAGTTGCTCGACTGGTGCGGTGGCCAGTGATGGGTCAATGTTTGTTTGCAGGCCGTTTGAAAGCGGTCGCGGGCACGAGGCACCACTCCACAACCTGCTTTGGGCTATCCCAAAGGGGGGGGGGGGGGGGTGGGGTCATCAACCAAAACAACAACAAGAGACATTTTTGTCGAATTCGGTTAAAAATAAAACCCCGCAAATATTTCAAGAGCCGCAATGCCACGCGGAGGATACGGGACGGTGGCGAGTCCGTCCTGAATAAATAACGGTGACGAGGCGGCCCTTGAAGAGCAGCGCTCATCTCCGGAGACGCAGGCTGCCCACCCCTGCCCATGGTAAACTGGACTTCCATGGTGAACTGGACTTCCATGTTAAACTGGACTTCCATGGTAAACTGGACTTCCATGTTAAACTGGACTTCCATGGTAAACTGGACTTCCATGTTAAACTGGACTTCCATGGTAAACTGGACTTCCATGTTAAACTGGACTTCCATGGTGAACTGGACTTCCATGTTAAACTGCACTTCCATGGTGAACTGGACTTCCATGTTAAACTGGACTTCCATGGTAAACTGGACTTCCATGGTAAACTGAACTTCCATGGTAAACTGGATTTCCATGGTGAACTGGACTTCCATGGTAAACTGGGCTTCCATGGTGAACTGGACTTCCATGGTAAACTGAATTTCCATGGTAAACTGGAATTCCATGGTAAACTGGATTTCCATGGTGAACTGGACTCTCATGGTAAAACTGGACATCCATGGTAAACTGGACTTCCATGATGAACTGGACTCCCAGGGTAAACTGGACTCCTTTGGTAAACTGGACTTCAATGGTCAGGGGTCGGCAAGCAAAATAACAAGAAGAGCCATTTATTTCGAATTTCAAAGAACCGCAGGTTGACCGACCCCCAGGGCGAGCCGTACGAATGTGACGGGAATCAACGGGCTCCCCGGTCACTCGCAACGGAACGAGAGCCGGCGGGCCCTCTCTCTCTCTCGCTGTCGGCCAGAGGCTTTGGTCGCCGCAGACGTCCGGGCCGAGCGGCGGCTACTCACGTGAAGGGCTCCGCGCAGTACTCGCTGAACATGGCCACCAACGTGTCCAGCACGACCTTGGCCTAGGGCGGACAAAGGGAGCAGCAGACGGTGAACGCTTCTCCACACGGACGGCGGCGCTGGCGGCTAACAGCTGTGACGACTGCGCTACCGACTTATGGGTTCAGTTGCTATGCGTGTAGAGTGTGTGAGTGTTGGAGTAGTGTGTGTGAGTGTTGGTGTAGTGTGTGTGAGTGTTGGAGTAGTGTGTTGAGTGTTGGTGTGTGTGAGTGTTGGTGTGTGTGAGTGTTGGTGTAGTGTGTGTGAGTGTTGGTGTAGTGTGAGTGTTGGTGTAGTGTGTGTGAGTGTTGGTGTAGTGTGTGTGAGTGTTGGTGTAGTGTGTGTGTGTTGGTGTAGTGTGTGTGTGTTGGTGTAGTGTGTGTGTTGGTGTAGTGTGTGTGAGTGTTGGTGTAGTGTGTGTGAGTGTTGGTGTAGTGTGTGTGTTAGTGTAGTGTGTGTGTGTTGGTGTAGTGTGTGTGTGTGTTGGTGTAGTGTGTGTGAGTTGGTGTAGTGTGTGTGAGTGTTGGTGTAGTGTGTGTGAGTGTTGGTGTAGTGTGAGTGTTGGTGTGTGTGTGTGTGTGTTGGTGTAGTGTGTGTGAGTGTTGGTGTAGTGTGTGTGAGTGTTGGTGTAGTGTGTGTGTGTTGGTGTAGTGTGTGATTGTTGGTGTAGTGTGTGTGATTGTTGGTGTAGTGTGTGTGAGTGTTGGTGTAGTGTGTGTGAGTGTTGGTGTAGTGTGTGTGTGGGGAGCGATAGTGCAGCGGTTAGCGCTACGCTGCGCACCGAACCCGGCGTCCCGCATTCGATTCTCGCTCACAGTCACTGCCAGTGACGATTATCTGAACCGGTCCTGGGCCTCCCGTATGTCGACTCAGTCTCAAATGAGTACCTGGTGCGGTGTGTAAACATCGCCACTAGGGAGAGAAAAGGCGGCCAGGCATGGTGCTGGCCACCCACCCCCTCGTGCGCCGTGTCGGCCTTCATAGGTGCTACTCGCGAACAGCGTTAAGGCCACGGAGGGGGTGATATTCTGTCCGGCTGGAGTGAGCGTGTCCACATCAGAGCGTGAAACCGCCGGCTGTCACCTTGTAGGGGTCGGTGGCCGTGCACTCGATGAAGACGTTCCTCGTCGACAGCGTGATCTTCGAGTGGTTCCCTGCACGAGCGAGCAGAGCTCACGAAACGACGCGAACCCGGCGGGGAGAACGAGCCACGGACAAACCGATCAGCGACCGCCATGAGTCAAGACGATTCATCCGATGATGATGCTGGTTGTAAATTTCTGGTAAAACGTCGTACTCAAGATTGCAAATGTTGTGAATTTGCTGTACTAGTAACGAATTGGCACGTTCTGTTAACGTGACAAACCTTCGCTAATTGGCTGTCGGGTGGCGCCGGGTTCCGACGACACGTTGACATATTTACGCGATCTAACCCAACAACGCTGTAATATGGAAGGTGGGGCTGTTAAGACGCCCAAGCCCAGTGGCGTGGCCGTGGTGCACGCGGGCCCTGCTGTTAAGAATTAAATGCGGCCCCCCCCCCCCTTTCCTATGACTGTCCCCCCCCCCGCCTCCTGCCTGGTGTCTCCGCGTTTCACTCGCGCGAGCGGCACTCCCCAACGGCGTAGGCCGGGTTCTCTCGGCGTCGTCACGCGAGCAGACCATGTGACGCACACCGACCAATAACAGAGCCGCCCCACCGCAGGCACTGACGCTGCCGCCCCTGGCCGAGGCTCGGCCATCTGCCGTGCGGGCCGAGCCAGACGCCACCGTTGCCGACGCAGCCTCAAGCCGGCACTGCCAGGGGCCCTCCCATCCAGGCCGACAGCGCTTGCCCCGACTCCCCCTCCTCCCCACCCCCCCCACCACCTTCCTACCCTTCTTGTGTAACCTGGCACCAGAGCCCCTCCGGCACCATGGGAATCCCAAGCGCAGTTACACCGCCTGCACACCCTACGGCAGTGTTCTTCGTTGCAAGGCCCGCGGGCCGCTAGCGGCTCCTGGCGGCCTTTAGTGGGGCACCTGATGTGTGGCCCCCCGACACTACACAAAGAGTGAAAACACCTCCCCACCATCGTCATCATCGTGCTGCTGCCAAACCCACCATGGTTTCAAATGTGTGGCGGGCCCCTCACACCGATGATGTCTCATCGCCGAAAGCGGCCCTCCCCCTCGGCAAGCGAGCGAAGAACGCGGCCCTACGGCAACGCCACGGCGCCTACCGTTGATGATGGGCGGCATGGAGAGCACGACTCCGCGAGCGTCCACGATGACGGGGTACAGGGGGCGGCCGTCCAGGATGTGCAGGTAGTGACGGAGGTGGCTGTCGGTCTGCGGAGGAGAAAACGACCGCTCCGTGAGCCGGGAGGCTCCACGATCGGCCCGCACCGATCGGCGGGGGTTCAACTCGGAGGGGCGCAGGTCCTCCGGCTCGCGGGCGGAAGGCGACCCACGACTTGAGCTTCGCGCGAGCCACGGCCGTGCAATCTTCGCCTCGCCCACCGGCTACCGGAAGGGAATGTTTCTGACCGTGGGAACACCGGGTACGGGTACGGTGCGCGCGGGCGTGGGCGGCGATTGCGACGGGAGCACTGGCTGACCCGGTAGAGGATCCATGAGCTCGTGTGGGTATGATCACCGCATGAATAACCCAACCGGTAACGGATATACATTGTAGTTTATATGCACACATGAACTCGCCCCCCCCCCCCCCCCCCCATCTGGGCTTCACACCCGATTGGCTCACAAGTGGTGGCATCTATCCCCCTCTATTTAAGACCGAAACAGGAAGATTTCTCCACGACTCTGGCTATCGCCTGATGATGCTGCTTGTTGTTGTAATTACTGGCGAAACTTCACGGTACTCGAATTGTAAATGTTGTAGAGGGTTTTACTCTCCAACACACAAACGGTTAGTGCTGTACTAGTATATAACAACATATTTGCCGCGTGTTAAACTGGTCTGGGCACGGTGCGCGTGAACGAGCGAGCGGGCGGGCGTGCGTGTGCGACGATTGCAGCGATGGCCGCGGGAGCGCCGGCTGACCCGGTAGAGCTCCATGAGCTCGCAGGCCGTGTGCTCGCGGCTGCCGTTGAGCGGCGTGAACTTGATCTCGGCCGGGGGTCTCGCCGTGTACACGAACGGGCCCGACACCGTGTCCAGGTCGTGCGTGCCGATCGCCACCAGCGTGCGCTTCCTGGTGCACACCGAACACCGTCGTCATCATCATCACCACCACCACCAGCAGCATCGCCCGTGGCCACCACCACCACCGTCATCTTCGTCGTCATCATCGCCATCGCCATCATAATCACCATCATCATTACCATCACCACCACCATCGCCCATAGCCACAAGCATCGTCATCATCATCGACATAACCACCACAATCATCACCACCACCACAATCATCACCACCACCACCACCACAATCATCACCACCATCACCATCGTAACCACTACCAACATCATAACCACCACTATCGTCCATCACACTACCATCGTCATCATCATCAACATCACCACCACCACCACCATCATCACCACTATCACCATCATCATCACCACCACCAACATCATTCCTACCACCATCATCCATCGCCACAGCCATCATCATGGCCAGTGGTCCGAGAAAACCTCCACCACCATCACCACAATCGTCACCACCACCACCATCACCATTTGGTAGAGCCATCACGACTACTACCAAACAACTAAAGGCGATTTGCTGTGCTTAACAATGACCAAACCACGAATCTGGCTCGGGGCCAAGCAGGGCCAGGCGCGGGGCTAACTAGGCGTTCAATGCACCTGGCGGCAGTCCGTGCACAACGCACACACGCGGCTCGCGACGCCTGTCAGTACACTGTGAAGGGCGCGGTGAGTACACGCGTCTCAACGTGGCTTGGCGTAGGGGCTCCGGCACAGCTCGGATGTGCCAGTAAGAAAATGGCATTCGCCTGGCTCTAAGAGACACGGCGATTTACACCGGGCCCAGCGCTCCAACGAGGTTGGCATGCGCCAGGCCACCCCCCCCCCCTCCCCCTGCCGGCTCTTCAGAGCCCGTCGCCTGGGACGCTCCGGTCCCGTGGGTCTCTCCGGTGAAGTTGCACGGCCTGCGTCCCGGGCGGTCTCCCCACGCACCGGCAAACGTTCTGGTGCAGCTTCTCCTGCAGCTCGATGAAGCTGTCGTAGCGCTCCTTGTCGAGAGAGATGTTCCTCAGCACCGCGGCCACGGCGTACGGGCGCACGGACGCCGTCTATCGCGTACACACGGACGCACGGACACGTCCAACAGGGATGCACGGACACGTCCAACAGGGACGCACGGACACGTCCAACAGGGACACACGGACACCATGGACGCACGGACACCTCCAAGACGGACACACGGACACCTCCAACACGGACACACGGACACCTCCAAGACGGACACACGGACACCTCCAACACAGACACACGGACACGTCCAACATAGACACACGGACACCTCTAACACGGACACGTCCAACACGGACACACGGACACCTCCAAGACGGACACACGGACACGTCCAACATGGACACCTCTAACACGGACACGTCCAACACGGACGCACGGACACCTCCAAGACGGACACACAGACACCTCCAACACGGACACCTCTAACACGGACACGTCCAACACGGACGCACGGACACGGTATGTAGACGCGGACTGTGGAGGCAGCGCTCACACAGACAAGTCTACCATGAAGCACACACGGACACGCATGTATGCATGTATGTTGACGTTGTTTCGCACCGTACGTAGCCAATCGTGCTAATCGGAGGTGCGGGGGGAAGGACAACAAACTAAACACAAAAAGCAGTTCTCACGAATGAGTTTGTCAATCTAGATCAGGGGTGGGGAACGTCCGGACCGCGGGCCGTACCGCGAAATCATTTAGTCCGGCCCTGCCAAGGCAACCGCACGACTCGAAATTCAATAAGTCTAGGCGCTTTTTTCAAAGCAACATAAATGTAATTTTGCATGGCCCGCGAATGATGTTATAAATATCCAAATGGCCCTTGGCAGAAAAAAGCTTCCCCACCCCTGATTCTAGATGATGATTTTTTAGAGGGTGCATAGCTCCAGTGGCTTGCTCATAACGGAAGGGGAAGAGCGTTCCAGACGGCCGCAGAAGCGCATCTGAAAGCGCCGCGCGATGCGGCGACCGCCGTCTTTGTTCAATTTGTTCGCCAGAAGCCGCTGGTGCGAGGATGACCGGAGGTTGCGTGATGGTTCATGCTCCTTGACGAGACACGTCTAAACACAAAGCGCACTGGGCACGTCTAATATGACACGGTTTGAAATTATACAGCACAGTGCACTTTGTGCGCGTGTGGTGACGTTAATGGTGGCGGCCGTGCTAACGCCATGTCTGCGGCAATGCTGATGTCGTGCGTGCCGTCACGTGGGAGTGTGTGTGTGTGTGTGGCAACGCACCTCTGGTGAGATGACCAGACGCTGCATCTTGCCATCGGCTGGCTCCACGCGGCGATACACTGGGGCCTCACACCTGTGAGCGAAGCCATAGGCAAACCGTACAACCCCCTTCCTTACGGAGGGCCGGATATGACTGCCAAATGCTGCTGGGCGGGCAACCACAACGTGAACACCTCGCTTCGTGACTTGCAGGAGTGAGAGAAGTGAGCGAGCGCTCCGCTTCAATGGGACGCCGTGGCGTTGCCAGGTGGGAAAATATTTCCCTCCGGTGCCCGATCAGAGCAGGTAAGATGCTCGCAGTAACGGACACATATCGGGCGCACTGCGAAGCGGCAGGCCTCGTGTGGCCATGGACAGTAGGTTCCCCACCACTGCCCTACACCCTGCACAGAGACAAACATCCCTCCCCTATAGCTTGGAACAAACTGCTAGGGCAAGTGCTGTGAGCGAGTAGCACCTATGAAGGCCGGCACTGCACGAGAGGGGCCAGCACCACGCCCGGCCGCCTCTGTCTCCCCAGTGGCGATGTTTACACACCGCGCCGGGAACTCATTTGAGGCTGAGTCGACCTAGGGGAAGCCCATGAGCATGTCGCCGGGTTCAGAGCGCAGCGCGCTAACCTGTGCGCCACCGTTCCCTACACCCTTGCACACACACGCACGCACGCACCCTACACCCTGCACACACACACTCCCTACACCCTACACACACACGCACGCACCCTACACCCTACACACACACGCACGCACCCTACACCCTACACACACACGCACGCATGCACCCTACACCCTTGCACACACACGCACGCACGCACCCTACAAGCTACACACACACACACCCTACACCCTGTACACACACACACACCCTACACCCTGCACACACACACACGCACACTCCCTACACCTTGCACACATGCGCGCACACATGCACGCGCACACACTCCCTGCACCAGCTACCTCCTTTCCTGGGCCTTGCCCGGCCGCACACACCTCTCCTTGAAGACCTGCAGGCCGCGCGCCAGCCCCTCCACGCACAGCAGGTCGTAGCGGTTGGCCGGCACGTCGATCTTGTAGATGACATCTTCGGAGGCTCCCACGGCGCGCTCCTTGCCCTGCTCGCGGCTCACCTGCTCCTTCTCCGACGTCTTCGGAGGCAGGAGCACAAAAAAAAACAAAGACAAAGGTCCCCCCCGTGTAGCCTTGAACAGACTGTAGGGGCAAGTGCCGTTCGCGAGCACCTATGAAGGCCGGGACGGCACACGATGGGGTGGGTGGCCAGCACCACGCCCGACCGCCTTTGTCTCGCCAGTGGCGATGTTTACACACCGCATCAAGTACTCATTTGAGGCTGAGTCGACCTAGGAGAGGCCCAGGACCGGTTCAGATAATCGTCACTGGTGTTGACTGTGAGCGAGAATCGAACCCGGGTCACCGGGTTCGCAGCGCAGCGTAGCGCTAACCGCTACACTATCACTCCCCACTGCGCACACAAAGATCCCCCATATAGCCTGTAACAGACTGTAGGGGCAAGTGCTGTTAGCGAGCACCTATGAAGGCCGGAACGGTACACGAGGGGGTGGGTGGCCAGCACCACACCCGACCGCCTTTGTCTCCCTAGTAGGCGATGTTTACACACTGCACCAGGTACTCATTTGAGGCTGAGTCGACCTAGGGGAGGCCCGGGACCGGTTCAGATAATCGTCACTGGTGTTGGCCGTGAGCGGGAATCGAACCCGGGTCGCCAGGTTCATAGCGCAGCGCGCTAACCGCTACACTACCGCTCCCCACTGCGCACACACACAATGACACACACACACACAATGACACACACACACACACAATGACACACACACAATGACACACACACAATGACACACACACAATGACACACACACACACACACAATGACACACACACAATGACACACACACAATGACACACACACACAATGACACACACACCTTAACCCACGGACACACGCACGCACAGCGGAGTCGCATGGTAGCAACAGCGTCGGATCGCACAGCTCACATTAACACACACGCATAGGTTAAGTACACGTAACCGCACACACAGTTCACACAGTCACAGGTGCGTGCGGGCAGGGTCACACGTGCTGGTGTGTGGAGAGTCACACGGGATGGTGAGTGGAGGGTCACACGTGCTGGTGTGTGGAGAGTCACACGGGCTGGTGAGTGGAGGGTCACACGGGATGGTGAGTGGAGGGTCACACGTGCTGGTGTGTGGAGAGTCACACGGGTTGGTGAGTGCAGTGTCACACGGGCTGGTGAGTGGAGAGTCACACGTGCTGGTGAGCGGAGGGTCACACGTGCTGGTGTGTGGAGAGTCACACGGCTGGTGAGTGGAGGGTCACACGGGTTGGTGAGTGGAGGGTCACACGGGCTGGTGAGTGGAGGGTCACACGTGCTGGTGTGTGGAGAGTCACACGGGTTGGTGTGTGGAGAGTCACACGGGTTGGTGAGTGGAGGGTCACACGGGCTGGTGAGTGGAGAGTCACACGGGTTGGCGAGTGGAGGGTCACACGGGCTGGTGAGTGGAGGGTCACACGGGATGGTGAGTGGAGGGTCACACGGGATGGTGAGTGGAGGGTCACACGGGATGGTGAGTGGAGGGTCACACGGGATGGTGAGTGGAGGGTCACACGGGATGGTGAGTGGAGGGTCACACGGGCTGGTGAGTGGAGGGTCACACGGGCTGGTGAGTGGAGAGTCACACGTGCTGGTGAGTGGAGGGTCATACGGTATGGTGAGCGGAGGCGTGGGACTCACCACTTCATCCAACTCTAAACCAAACTCAAAGCACAGCTTGTCAAACTCCTCGTCAGCTGTCAACAGAGACACGCACAGACAAAGATCCCCCGTATAGCCTTAACATAATGTAGGGGCAAGTGCTGTTAGCGAGCACCTATAAAGGCCGGCACGGCACACAAGGGGGTGAGTGGCCAACACCACGCCCGGCCGCCTTTGTCTCCCCAGTGGCGATGTTTACACATTGCACCAGAGGAAGCCCAGGACCGGTTCAGATAATCGTCACTGGTGTTTGCCATGAGCGGGATTCGAACCCCGGTCACCAGATTCGTAGCGCAGCGCGCTAACCGCTACACTACCGCACAGACACACTGACGCACAGACGCACACACACAAAGACATACACACACAGACAGACACACACACAGACAGACACACACAGACAGACACACACACACAAAGACACACAGACACACACACGCAGACACACGCACACAGACACACACGCAGACACACAAACAGACACACACACAGACACACACACACAGACACACACACACAGACACACACACACAGACACGCACACACACACACACAGACACACACACACAGACACACACACACAGACACACACAAACAGACACACACACACAGACACACACACAGACACGCACACACACACACAGACACACACACAGACACACACAAACAGACACACACACAGACACACACACAGACACACACACACGCAGACACACAGGCCGCCTCGTTAACCAGATACACTGCAAGTGCGGCTAGCGAGCACCACGCCCGGCAACCCGGCGTGGTGCCGCACCACCAACCACGTGGCATCACAATCTGTTTCAGCTATCACGCAATATCCTGCCCCGCCCCCGCCCGGTCTCTACACTGCCCCTGCCCTGCCCTTACACTGCCCCTAACCAGTCTCTACACTGCCCCCTACCCAGTCTATACACTGCCCCTACCCAGTCTATACACTGCCCCTACCCTGTCTATACACTGCCCCTACCCTGTCTCTACACTGCCCCTACCCGGTCTCTACACTGCCCCTACCCAGTCTCTACACTGCCCCTGCCCAGTCTCTACACTGCCCCCTGCCTCTACACTGCCCCCTACCCAGTCTCTACACTGCCCCCTGCCCGGTCTCTACACTGCCCCTACCCAGTCTCTACACTGCCCCCTACCCAGTCTATACACTGCCCCTACCCAGTCTCTACACTGCCCCTACCCAGTCTCTACACTGCCCCCTGCCTCTACACTGCCCCCTACCCAGTCTCTACACTGCCCCCTACCCGGTCTCTACACTGCCCCTGCCCAGTCTCTACACTGCCCCCTACCCAGTCTCTACCCTGCCCCTACCCAGTCTCTACACTGCCCCTACCCAGTCTCTACACTGCCCCCTGCCCTGCCCTTACACTGCCCCGACAGTGACAGACACCGGCCACGTGGATGACAGCGAATGGGGATGCCGTTGATGCCTGCGATGTGATGACTCTCACGCTGTCGATGATGTTGTTGATGATGTTGCTGTTGGTGATGATGTAGTTGATGTTGGTGATGATGTTGGTGATGATGGTGATGATGTTGGTGATGATGTAGTTGATGATGTAGGTGATGATATAGGTGATGATGTAGTTGATGTTGGTGATGATGTAGTTGATGTAGTTGATGATGTTGGTGATGATGTAGTTGATGTTGGTGATGATGTAGTTGATGTAGTTGATGATGTTGGTGATGATGTTGGTGGAGTTGATGTCCTCACTGTAGACGCGCCCCAGGGCCTTGAGCAGCGCCTCGCGTTTCACTTCCACAGTCGGCATCGCGTCCCGCACGCCTCGCTCGCTCTACCGCGTGTTCGAGTCGCCTTCCCGGTGGAGTCTTCGTCGTCTTCCTCCTCTGCCGGAAGATTGTGTTCCTGTGCCGGGAGAGGCTTCCTCCAGCTGAAGGTTGTCAGTCCGCCTCCGTAGAGAGAGACAGAGAGAGTCAACGACAGATTCTTGGGTCTTTCGGTAAAGTCACTGAGATAAGGTTCAAAGGAAATAACAAAACAATAACGAGAACAACTGCCGACGTTTCGATCGCGACGCAAGCGGTGGTCTTTTTGTTGTTGTTGCTGAAAACGACCGCTCGTGTTGCGATCGAAACGTTATATTTTTTTTGTTATTTTTTTGTTATATATCCTGCAGTCACGAAAGCTTTAAGTCAAGTGATAAAACGACGTTTCGGTGGGGTCCACCTTTCCTCCGGAAGACCCTTCCTGTTCCGGAAGGGCAGTGAAGGGCTCCCAGACTCTCGTGTTCATTCTGGAAGTGCACACACGTGCCAGTAGGGGCAGGCCACGAATCGTTACAACAACAACAAACACAATACACATTACCGACGTTTCGATTGCAACACAAGCAATCATCATCATCATCAGTTGTGCAAACCACAGCAATCGAAACGTCGTGAGAATTTTTTTTATTTTATTACTTCCCTTCCACGTGGTGACTTTACCGAAAGAAACCAAGAATATGGAATCCCTGCATTCACGAAAGCTTTAAATCGAAATTTTACCGAGTTATATTTGCACAAGCGTGCTGGTACACACACACACGAGTGATAGTTCCATAGCTGTCAGCGAATTTGAGTTTTCAGATCCATTCGTCGTACGCCTTGGTTTTCTCGTATTTGACAATGGGGTTAATGAATTCGCGAAGTATTATGGGGCCGTCCATAAATGACGTCACGCACCTAGGGGTGGAGTCAGACATTTGTGACGATGTGTGACGATGGGGGGGTTTGAGAAATGTGACGTCACATCAAAATGCGCAACTTTAAATAAATATAGACAACACGTTCTACTTAATTAAATAGACTTTTTAATAAATGTTTTCTCCCTACAACATCAGAGTGCAGCGGCACATTAAGTACGCACTACAATGTCAATAGTTTAAAGCGATTTGAAGCATGTTTTATATTTTTTTTGGGGGGGGCAGAGCTTTGTGACGTTATATTTGAGGGGGGGGTCTGACTGTGACGCCGTGTGACGAGGGGGGGGGGGTCAAAAATCGCGTGACGTCATTTATGGACGACCCCTATGCAGATTTGCCAATAAGGTTTTCATGGCTGAACAGGGCCCCATGTGGAATTCTTCTTGCATCAAATGATGTGAGACTGGATTTTAAGTCGAGGTCACGATGGTAGGTGCTGTACTGTACAGAGCAAATCGAAGAACAATGATAAAGTGGGTTTAGTCTAAACCTTGACTTATAGCTTTCGTGACTGCAGGAATTCAGATTCTTTGGGACTTTCGGTAAAGCCACGTGGACAGAAAAATAATGAAAAATAAAAATATCACGACGTTTCGATCGCAACACAAGCCATCGTCATCAGGTGAAAAAATTAAGCGGGAGAGCTTCTGAGGCAGGAAAATATATAAGCTCAGTAGCTCTCCCGCTGTATTTTTTTCACCTGATGACGATTGTTTGTGTTGCGATCGAAACGTCGTGATATTTTTACTTTTCATTATTTTTCTATCTACGTGGCTTTACCGAAAGACCCAAAGAATATGGGTTTAGTCTCTTTAGAGATTCATTAGTAGCTGACCTGTAAGCAGCATCACTGCAGCCAAACTGTGGTAGAATGATAGCTTCATTAATTTTCTGGTGTAATCGAATGGGAAAATAATGTTTCTATATAAAAAGCCTATTTTTTATTTTTTATTCGTCGAGATGTGATTAATATGGGGCTGGAATCTAACTTTTTAATCAATTAGTAACCCCAGGTATTTAAAGCACTCCGTTTGTGCAATGATGTTGTGTCTCACATCAGTGATAGGAGAGAAGGAAACTGAATTTTTGCTTTAGGAAAATACCATGAACTTCGGGGTTTTTGTAAGATTCAGGAGAAATTTTAGCGATTAAAATTGACGTTTAATTAAATCGATATCGTGTGGGAGATTCTGTTTTGACTTCGATTGGAGATTTACCCGATACCAGCATGACAGCATCATCGGCAAAGGGATTTAACTCCGAGTGATTGAAGTTTAGGCCAAGATTTTGTAAATATAATGAAAACAGAATTGGACCCAGCATGGAACCTTACGAAACACCCTTTGTTATTTTAATATTTATGGATGAGATAATTTTGATTTAAAGCTTTCGTGACTGCAAGGATTCATATTCTTGGTTCTTTCGGTAAAGTCACGTAGAAGGGAAACAATAAAATAATAAAAATATAAAACAATAAAATTCTCACGACGTTTCGACTGCAACACAAGCAATCATCATCAGGTGTGAAAACCACAACAAGAAAATTTGGAGAAAAAAAACAACACATTTTTTTTTGTTTCCGTTCTATGTGACTTTACCGAAAGAACCAAGAATAAGGATGAGATAATATCACCATGTCCCCTTTGAGAACGGTCTGAGAGGAAGCTCTTAAACCATTTTATTTCACTACCTGTAATGTTTAGTTGACCAAGTCTTCTGGGTAAGAATATCATGGTCAACAGTGCCAAAGGCTTTTGACAAGTTAAGGAAAAGTGAAAACCAGTAGTGGCCTTTATCCAGGTTACTGAAGAGAAAGTGTAATGACATCCAACTTTGCTGTGGTGGTGCAGTGATCCTCTCGAAAACCAGACAGTGGTCTGTGAAGGAGATTGTCACTTTTGTTGTAGCAGTTTATTTGTGATTTAAGTATATTTTTTTTCGAATATTTTAGCAACTGGTGAAAGAATAGAGCATCGGTCTATAATTATTAGGGTAAAGTCAAGTAGAAATAAAATAAAATAAATAATAAACAACGACGTTTCCGTGTCTGTGTTTTGTCTCTCTCTCAATTTTAGTTCTACCTGATGACGGTTGCTTGTGTTGCAATCGAAACGTCGTACTCTATTATTTAATTGATTTTCTTTCTACGTGACCTTACCAAAAGAACCAAAGTGAAATTCTAGATTTGAAGTTTTCGCGACCGCAAGGATTCATACTCTTTCGTTTTTTCGGTAAAGTCACGTAGGTAAAATAAAATAAATGAAAACAACTAAATTAAATCACGACGTTTCGGGCACAACACAAGCGTCCTTCTTCAGGTGGGGACAACGTAGCGAAAGCACAAATGCTAGTTTACCGAAAAAAACAGTGTATGAACCAAAGTGTAAGTCCTGCAGTCACGAAAGCTCCAAATCAAGTTTAAATTATTAGGGTATTTTTTGGAGCTCGCTGGAATCTTCTTCTTCCGGAAAGAATATTAATCTTCACGAAGATTCGTCTACTTCTTCTTGGTTCTTTCGGTAAAGTCACGTAGAAGGGAAATGATAAAATAAAAAAACAGAATAAAATATTATTTGATTTGATTATGTTTTTTTTATTTTTATGAAGAATCGTCCAGAACATCGAAATTATGCCAAAATAAGAACTTCCAGAAGTAGGCGAATTTTGATTGAAAGCTTTCGTGACTGCATGGATTCATCTTCTTTGTTCTTTCGGTAAAGTCACGTAGACGGGAAATAATAAAAAAAATACAAATAAAACTGAATAAAATATTAAATATTATTTTATTATGTTTGATTTTTATTATATATTATTTTAGTTTAGTTTTTTTTATTGTTTTATATATATTATTATTTTATTGTTTCCCTTCAACGTGACTTTACCGAAAGAGCTAAGAATATGAATTACTGCAGTCACGAAAGATTTAAATCAAAATTTATTTTAGATGTTTTCTTTTTATTTCATCAGGTGAAGGGACCGGACTGTCCGGAGGACAGCATTGGAGTGAAAACAGCCAAGCCCAGGTCGCGTCCTTTAAGCTATGTGGGAGGAAACAGAAGCGCCTTGACAAAGGAATTAGCATAAAAAGATGATGTATAGGACCGGCACAGGGAGGGGGGGAGGGGAGTTTACATAATGTTGGTGTGAAGGGAAATAAGCTGCTGTGAAAGTTTGGGATACCACAACTTGAAAAAATATACTGTACCATTGAAAATTAGTTTAATGTTTGGTTTGATTTAGAACATCTTTCCAATGATTGCTTAATTTGAAACCATCCTCTCGGTTGAAATTGTGTCTGTGTTTGTAAATCTGAATTGCCTTGTGGACAAATCTCTGATAAAACCCCGTGGGTTTGCAGAGAACCTTGGTATCGGAGAAAACTATATCGTGATCACGCACAGCGTTGTAACAGTGATCAGCCACGGCAGAAGAATTCGTTCTGCCGTGTTTCAAATCTGATTTGTGTTCGCGAATTCGGTCAGAGACATGTCGCTTCATCTCCCCGATATAGCAGTCACCACAGGTGTAGCTCAATTTGTAAACCCCGGGGTACTGTAAGTCAGGAATGACATCCTTCACGGATGGGATCAGGTCACGGATTTTCTGTACTTTATTGAACCGGACCAGGATCTTGTGTTTGTTTAGAATTTGGGTTTCCTGTAGACAGAATGTCCCAATGAGCCATCAGGTCTCCTCTCAAACAGAACATCTTGGATGAATCAGGTTTCAAGTAGGAATCTGTGTGGGTTGGTTTCCTGTAGACAAAATGTCCCAATGAGCCATCAGGTCTCCTCTCAAACAGAACATCCAAGATGTTCTGTCTCCTCTCAAACATGGCTCATTGGGACATTCTGTCTACAGGAAACCCACCCACACAGATTCCTACTTGAAACCTGATTCCCACCACCACCCAACTCAAAATAATTCTCTCATGAAAACGTTATACCACAGGGCTCATTGCATTTCGGACCAACACCACCTGACCAGTGAATTAAAACATGTACATCTGGCCCTCAAGAGGAACGGATACCCTGACCGTACCTTCCGCCAAGCTGTTTCTCCCTCCATACAGAAACAACCACTTGATACTCCGATCAAAACCATCACACTACCATATATAGCAGGCGTTACTAAAAAAGATCTCCAAAATTCTAAACAAACACAAGATCCTGGTCCGGTTCACTACAGTACACAAAATCCGTGACCTGATCCCATCCGTGAAGGATGTCATTCCTGACTTACAGTACCCCGGGGTTTACAAATTGAGCTGCACCTGTGGTGAATGCTATATTGGGGAGACGAAGCGACATGCCTATGACCGAATTCGCGAACACAAATCAGATTTGAAACACGGCAGAACGAATTCTTCTGCCGTGGCTGGTCACTGTTACAACGCTGTGGGTGATCACGATATAGTTTTCTCCGATACCAATGTTCTCTGCAAACCCACGGGTTTTTATCAGAGATTTGTCCACGAGGCAATTCAGATTTACAAACACAGACACAATTTCAACCGAGAGGATGGTTTCAAATTAAGCAATCATTGGA